GGGCGGGTACCGCACACATCCGGAGCCTCGTCGAAGACATGGGCGATGGGAACCCCAAAGATACCTGGAACTACGAAGCCGTAATTTTTGTCACAGCGTGGACAGGATCTTCATCCCGGGCAGATAGGGTCGGAGGATCGCACCGCGTTGCCGATGCATCGCCGATGCATGGGTCGATGCATCGACGAAGTCAACACGGCATCTGCGACAACAGCGTGGAGAAAGTCGGGCTCCATATCGAGCCGCATCGGCGATGCATTGGCGACGCGGCGCGATCCTCCGACCCCATCTGCTCCTGCCCCATTTTGTGGGAGGCCTGGATACAATGGAGACGCGTATCTAGAATCCACCCCATATATCTGGCGTCTAGAAAAAATCGAAACACTTTTGTTTAATCGTTTTCGGCATATGTTTTCGGCCTCTCAGAGCCCTTCCTGGGGCTCGGGGCCGTCAACAAAGCTGCTCAGGATGAAAAACCGGCCGGGGGAAGGGGACCCTAGATTGAACAAATCTGCCGACCCTTCGGCGTGTGTGAGACGCTGTCGTCGTCTTTGTTAACATTGAGGAACGAATCGAGAGACGAAACGTCGTAAGCAAATCGATTATCTTCCCCTTTTCGCGTCACTGACGGGGGCGGAAATAGGGTGGGGGTCTCCAAAATAGAACACTGTCCCCCGGGGGTCCCGTCGCTCTGAGATCCGACGCTGCAAAGAAATTGCAACATTGCAAAAAAACACGCCCAGAGCCCCGGACCCTGTCTTTCTGCGTTTATTTTCGAGCCGGATCGATCTGTAAGGGTCCAATGGGGCCCGAGCTTGAGCGACAACGCCTGCTGCGAAAAAAACTACCACGCCAGGATCTCAGGGCGGGTCCTAGGGGGAGGGCGCGTAAAGGAATGAGAGATGAGGAAGAACGCGAAACGGAACGACAAACATCACGCGTGCAAGCCCAAGGAACGACCGAGCCCCTCCCGAAAAGTAGGTGTTCCTTATTCCAGCCGCTCGCTGCCCGAGGAGGAGCCGGCGAGGAGCCCGAGGCGCCGACGCCCCGGGCCTCAAACGGGCGGTGGGTCCAGCGGGGGCGCGCCTCGAGACACCCTGTGCTTCTCGGCAGGATAATCGTAGGTCGGGCCTGTCCCTCTACAGGGGGATCCTGTGCGACAAATGTAAGAAATACTCCAAAAGTATTCCCAAATACTTGAAACATGGTGGCAAAAGTGAGTCCCCAGAGTATTTTTGGACTATTATTGAATGTTCCCCCTGTAGAGGGACAGGCCCGACTTAAGGTTAATCCTGGATGTCTGCGCTCCGCGCGCTGCGCGGTGACTTCTTGCGGCCGTCAGGGAAGCTGGTGCTCCCCCCGCATGGGGGGGTCGAATCGATCTTCGGGGACCTCGGCAGCAGGTTGATATTGATATGCCTGTTTGCTATCATAATCCCTTTGATTAGGTTTGGCCTTGGACGATTGCGCTCTAAGTCGAGTCTCCCATCTGAAGTCGAACTGTGTGGTGCACACTCCGTGGTCCAGGTGTGCACCATGTTTCCTCCCGCTTCCTCCCTCCTCTTCCGAAATTCGGTCACTCCAGAGGTTTGCGATGACAATGATTGGTGTCTGTCATGCGCTGGCCCCCGGCAAATCGATCGAGACACGGAGGTCTCGATGATTGTGGGTCGTTCATGGGGTTGTGGAACAGACTCCAGATTCTGGAATGTGCTTCTTCCGCTCCTGGCCATCGCTCGGACGTCGATTCCCTGTGTTGTTTTGGTTTCGTGCGTGGTTTTTTTCGCCAAATGATCAAGGATTCTCCTCGATGGTCCTCGCCGAAAGAAAAATGCACACGTCCGAGCGATGCCAAGGCTCTGGACTGGCTCGTGGCATTGTCAGGTTCCCAGGGCCGACCTCATCGCTTCTGCACACGACGCGGTGTCTGATGCTTGCTTGGCTAGCGAGCCTTTGCCGGAGGACCACCGGGCGCCGTGCTTCTCTTCCCTTTGCCAGTGGTCTTCTCCTTAAGCAGTAGCGTTGCTGATCTGTAAGAAACGCGATCAAACAAACAGGATGAGCGTACAACATGCCGCGTACTCTTGTAGTGTGTGGGGCATATGCGTAATCGTGTTGGCTCGGAAATCGTTGCAGCGTCCTTGAGCTTGGGCGTGACTATCGGCGGAAACTCGCGAGCACTTCGATCGTGAACACATTTTCAGCATCGCCGCTGAAATCGGCAACATCAAATTGACTTTGCTATTAATTTCGCCGTTTGCGACCCCTTCCAAAGCAGTGGATCTACAGGAGACCTTGAGATGCGCTGGGGTATGGCCTTTCCTCCAATACGCTCCCAGGAAGCCCCGATAGTGCCCGAAGAGGCTTCGGAGGGGGCTCCTCCTCCTGCGTGTTCACCCCTCTCCTCCTATTCTTTTCGTGCCCACGTGCTTCCCGAAGGGCTTCCCCAACGGCCGGGGGAAATTCCAGCTCGGCCAGACTCTGGCCGCAGCGTTCGGCCACGTCGGCGCTTCCAGAGGGCGGGGGGCGACGGCGATGCGCCGCACGTGGGCGTCTTCGAGGAACCGACTGACGAGCAATCCATGAAACACATGTCCCACACGGTGCTTCGGTCAGGGGTCTTACGTACTCTGAGAACCTACCTGCCTACCTACCAAAATTGAGGGATGAAGAAAACGACCCTACCCTGGGTTACAAGTGCGTGGTCTGTAAACCTCCTGGGAACCCCCAAAGCCTAGAGCCGCCAGGACGCGGCACATCACGCAGGGTTTACCCTGTCAGCCCACAGGAGTTTCAGAGCACAGCGCCTCGTGAACCAGGGCAAAGGCGTTTTTTCTGCCCTTGACAAAAGGTACCGATGCCGCTGCTCCCAGGACCTCTCCTGGGGTGCGTTCTGGCCAGGACTTCGAGGCGAAGCCAGCCGTGGCGGCGAGGGCCACCCAGGAGCCCCAAAGAGGGGAAAACGGGCAGGGGAGGAAGAGGAGGAGGAGGAGGAGGAGGAGGAGGAGGAGGAGGAGGAGGAGGAGGAGGAGGAGGAGGGGGAGGAGGAGGAGGAGGAGGAGGAGGAGGAGGAGGAGGAGGAGGAGGAGGACCAGCGCCAGACCGTGTCGTGCAACCGAGGGACGGGAGCACGGGCCTTGCATGAGAAAGTTTGACGGGTCTTAAAGACATGCCCGTCTTAGGGTGGCGACCAGCCTTGATGGCAGAAATGGCATATGTCTGCCGATATCTGGTCAGCCCGTGCTCCGACGCCCCGAGACATTCCGCTTGCAGCTTACGATTAGCTACTTTGCCACGCGACGCTTGGTAGGAGCCACAAAACGTACAAACCATCGCCCACGACAGCACCAGAACCTGGTGCCCCTGGAGCTCGACGATAACTTCATCGGCGGCAGACTGAGGCCCCGCAGATCCAGAAGCACCCTGGACGTCCTGTGGCGAGCCAACACCCTCAAAATCCGCAGCCCCATTCAGGGCAACATTCACAGCGTGAGACCTCAAGAGCGGAGCTCGCTGGAGCTGCTGGTCCGCACGTGCCTTCAGCCTCTCTTGGGGCAGGGCAGGGTAGGGCAGGAGGAGGACGAGGACGAGCAATGAAGACAATGATAAGGAGCGGGAGAGGAGGAGAGGGGGGGGTCTGGCTCCAGGCCTCCTCTGCTTATTAGTCGGCGGTCTTTCGGCCTTCAAAGGCTTCAAAGCTGTTTTTTTCGACTTCTCCTCGTCGTCGTCGCCCGCCTCCTGCCCATCCCCATTCATTCACACATCCTGACGGCCGCCATATCCATACAGTCTGGAGCCGGGAGGGGGGGTTGTCTGGCTCCAGACCTCCTCTGCTCCGTGCGACTGCTTTTGCAAGAGTGCTGCCTCTGGGGGAGACCCCACCTGCCCGAAACAGGCGCCAGAAAGCAGCCACGATCTACTCCACAGTCTGGCCGGCGTCCTCTGGGCTCCCGCCGCGTGCCCGCCCTAGGGCGCCCCTCGTGGGCGCCGCGCGAGCGCCGGGAAAAGCACGCCTTCTTTGGAGCCGTCGCGCGGGGTGCACCCCCTGCAGGGGGATTCTGGGCGAAACATTGAACATATTCTGACAACATTTCCAGCATGCAAAAAAAAGTAGTCAAAAGATCGTCCCCAGAAATATTTTTTGACTACGTGTGAATATCCCTCCTGTAGAGGGACAGGCCCCGACTTAAAGCTCGCAACACACATTGCACACATGGCTTGCAACACATACGTAGCACCCCGCAGATGCGGATAAGAGTCTGGGCCGCGGGTGGGTCGTGGGGTGGGTGGCGGGGTCGGTCGCGGCGTGGGTCGCGGGGTGGGACGCGGAATGGGTCGCGGTCGGGTCGCGGGTGGGTCGCGGGTGGGACGACGACAACCAACAACACCAACAACACCACCACCAACACCACCAACAACAGCAACGACAACGACAACGACAACGACAGCAACAACATCAACAACAACGGCAACAACAGCAACACCAACAACAGCAACAGCAACAACGACAACACCAACAACACCAACAACAACAACAACGACATCAACAACAACGGCAACAACACCAACAGCAACAACCGCACCAACAACAACGCAATAAGCAGAATCCTCACCACGGGTCCCCACCTCAGCCACGCACCCAGGGACAATGAATGACCGTTCGTCCCCCTCACTCTGATCTTGTATTATATCTGGCAATATGCTGTGCCATGCGGCATGCGCTACAAAGCTTACATCACATGGCTTCCACTACATAGCTTGCACAACATTGGTGGCATGCCATGCGCTGCCCACACAAAACTGCACCGCATACACTGCACCACCTGCATTGACTCGCATAGTTTGCACCACAAGTTTCAACACATAGGCTGCGCCATATCCAGATTTGCAGAAAACATACTACGCATGGAAAATAAAACAGCATACTGTGGGGGTCCATGCTTGTAGACATCCCGATATGACGACTCTGATCATGTTGCATTGCACATCAAACGCATGGCTGTCCTTTTTGTCCTGCGGGGACTCCAGCGAGAAGCCCTGCCGATTCTGAGCCGACGCCATCGCCCGCGCGACGGACAGCGCTTGAACTCTGAGGGCCACGGAAAGGGAACCGGAGTGCAGCAGAAGGGCACCGCGGAACAAACACGAACGGTGCCTTCACAGTTCTGTCCTCCCTGTTTCCCGTCGCAGGGTGCAGTGAGCCGAGGAGGAGCGTGTGAGCATGGAGGAAGGGGATGGCATGGAGGGATGCGGGAAGAGGAGGCGAGGGCAAGGCGGGCCACTTCGGCCCCCGATACGGCCTGGCACAGCGAGAGCGCCCAGGCGGGTGACCCCGCGCCAGTAAGGACAATTTACGAGAACGGTGCCCGTTCACCAGGCCGCGATCCAACGCGGTGCGGCGCACAGTTTCCTGGCTCTGCGGGCCAACAAACAAGCAATGCACCGTACCACTTCGGAGCCCAAAATCGACGATGCCGCGGGAGACGTGTACGTTGCACGGGGGAAACCAACATTAACCGATACCGCTACACCCCCGAACTCTGCCAATGTGCGTTCTGGTCAGAATTCCGAGGCGAATCCAGCCGTGGCGACGAGGGCCCCGCTGGGTACCGCCTCCTTCGGGCTTCGAGGCGCCCATCCCCACCTAGAGTGGGTTCGCTGGGAGAGCCAACTTACCCTGCATCGGTGGGGATGGGCATGGTTCCGAAGATGATGAGACAAAGTGGCATAAGTCTTTATTTTTCGACGAGTTTTGAACATTCCTCCTGTAGAGGGACAGGCCCGACTTAAGTCCAGCCCTATCCCCGCCTGCACGGTTTCCCCCGGGGCCGTAGGCGACCCGAGGAGGGGAGGGCGAGGAGGGGGAGGAGGAGGAGGAGGAGGAGGAGGAGGAGGAGGAGGAGGAGGAGGAAGAGGAGGGAGGAGGAGAAGGAGGAGGAATAGGAGGAGAGGAGCAGGAGGAGGAGCAGGAGGCGGAAGGGAGGAGGAGGAGGAGAGAGGGGAGAGAGGAGGAGGAGGAGGAGGAGGAGGAGGAGGAGGAGAGGAGAGGAGGAGGAGGAGGAGGAGGAGGAGGAGGGAGAGACTTTCGGAGGCCCGCGTGGACTCCTCGGCGCTGAGCACAGCGGGCGGCGCCTCCAGCGTCCCTCCGGACGCTCGTGCGCCGGGGAGGGGTCCAGACCTCTGGCGTCGGGCCTGTCCCTCTGCAGGAGTACCCAAGAATAGCCAAACAAAATGTCCAGGGACGATTTTTCGTCCCAAATCCAGGTCTTTAAAACTATTTGGGACTTTTTTGATATCTTTTATATTTTCTAGGGTCGACTAATAGTCTGCAGGGACGATTTTTCAAATCCAGTCCCAATAGTCTGCAGGGACGATTTTTCTAGGTCTTTAAAACTATTTGCGGGCTTTTTTGATATCTTTTATATTTTTCGTCCCAAATCCACCTGTAGGGGGACATGCCCGACCTAAGTCTGGACACCTTCCCGGGACAGGTTTTTCACCCCGGATGCTTGTTTGACGGTCCTGGGGCCGAAAACGGCCAAAGACCTCCCGCGGTGGTTCTGCCACAACGAGAGGAGGTGGGGGGGGTCCAGCGCCGATTCCAAAACCCGCGCGCACCTCTGAAAGTTGATGTTGACGCAAGCATTTGTGTGTTGGGCTTCCTTGGGATATTTTGACACTCTGGGAGGCCAAATTCGATCTGCGCGCAGAAGGCGGGCCTGTGGGGTCGCTGGGCGTGCGTGGGAGGTGTACCTCGGCATCCTCTGTGCTCATGTCCTCGAGCACCTCGATACTTCTGTTCTCGAGCGTGCCAAACGGAGATTGTCGTGACCGTGCTGGCTATGACATGTTTTGCGCATCCCTAAACGATACTAGAGCCGTGGTGTCTTCAGAAGAATCAAAGTTCGGTCGACCTACAAGGGGGTCCAGCAGACAAGGGGGCGCTGCCATAGATTTGGGCCAATTGTATTGAAAATGTATTGCGCCGGAGAATTGTATTGCATTATATTGCGGATGCTGTATTGCGCGCGAAAGTCCAGCAATACATTTGCGCACCTGCACGCTCCGAACATACTGCAGCCCCACAAATTTGTTGCACCAAATCTATTGCACCACCCTCGTTCCGCTGGACCCCCTTTTGGGCCAACCAGACAAAGTGAACCCAATGTACATTCGTGGCGGCGAGCGAGGGGGGGAAGTGAGAAGGAGAAGGCCTTCTCACCAGCGGAAGCAAAAATGCAGCATCGGAGAAAATCACGCCCGGAGCCCCGGACCCCGTCTTTCCGCCTCATTTTTCGAGCCGGATCGATCTGTGAGGGTCCCAGGGCCCAAAAAATTGAGCGAACACGCCTGCTGCGGAAAAATTGCCACGCCGAGATCTCAGGGTTTCCCCCCCCCCTCGCACGCCGCCGACGTCCAAAAGTGCTGCCCCTCTCCGGCCCCGCTCCCGTGGGCCCCCCCGGGCGCGCGGCAGGGGCGGCGGGGCCCGGCAGGCCCGAGAGCCGGGGGGAGGGCGGCGGCGGGGCCCTCGAGCCGCAACAGGGGGAGGCCGCCCCGCGCAAGCGGGCATGGAGAGGCGCCAGAGGAGGAGGAGGAGGAGGAGGAGGAGGAGGAGAGGAGGAGGAGGAGGAGGAGGAGGAGGAGGAGGAGCCTCCCAGCGGTGGGGTCGGCGCAGCTGCCGTCGCGGGGTCGCAGGGCATCGCCGATGCCTCGGCGATGTATCTCGCGGAAGCAGAAGCGCCATGAACACAAGCTTTTGGCGCTCCGCGCGGACTGCCTGGATCGGCGCTGGGCCCCCCCTGGCGGCGCCTCCGGCGCCGCCCCTGGCGCGCTCCGCGCGCCAAGGAGGGGGGGTCCAGCGCAGATCCAAGAAATCCGCGCGGAGCGCCAAGAGTTTATGTTCATGGCGTTTTTTCCTCTTCGAGATACGTCGTCGATGAATCGGCGATCCGTCGGCGGTGCCAGCGACGCATCCGAGGCGTCGGCGCGGAAAAATGATCGGGCCCCACATGGGGCCGCATCGCAGAGGCCTCGACGATGCGACCCTCCGACCGCACTCGCTCCGACACCCATCTGGGAGGCCCAGGGACGAGCGCCCGCATCGGTGTGGGGGCACAGAGGGCGCGGGGGCTGGCACTGCATGGGCACCCAGGACTCCGAGATCGCGACTTTCTGTCGCTGCGTGGACCCATGCCCTGGACACGAGCTATCATCCCAGGCCGTCTTTGGACGGCCTGGGGCCTACGGGGCCCCCTGGAGGCAGAACACTTGCCAGAATCCCCACGTCCTGACTTGTTCGCAACGAGAGGCATTATGTTGCATCCCAAGGGGACCTTGTCTGTCCCGTCGCGGCCCTAGCCGCGCCGCATCCGCGTCGAATCCACGTCGTACTCGTCGGATCCGTGTCGAATACGTGTCGAATCCGCGTCGACTCCGCGCCAAATCCGCGTCGAGTCTGCATCGGACCCGCGTCGGGCACAGGAAAAGACACCAGTTTTGGGGACAGGCGAGGGCCCCCGATGGCGAAGGTGCAATTTTACAAGAGGTCTAGCCGGGGGCGCACAAACATGGATTAGCGATCCATGGATTTGGCGCGCGGTCGCCAAATCCATGGATCGGGGGAGGTGCCATCCCCAAAATGCGGCCGGTGCCGCCTCGTTCGGCGGCGGAAATCCGCGATTTCCTATGGAAACGGGATCCGTCGCTAATCCACGCCCCCTTGATCCATGTTTGCGATCGCCTGAAACTTTCCAGCCCATGCGCCGTGTCCAGCGCCCCGATCCACCAAAACGACCGCACTGCCGCACGCTCCGACAGCACCTGACACAGCGTGGACCAACGGCAGGTACGAGATCGAGATTGGGCACCAGTCTGACATTGCAACGAGATGGCCAGGTCAAGTGACAACTGCTGGGAGGTCTTCGTCAAAACGATATAAAGGGCTGGTTGGCACGATGTACAAGCCATTGAACAGAAGTCAGCCCAAGACTAAGCCGGAATCGAACGAATTGCCTGGAATCAGCGGGATTTTGCCGAATTGGGACTGTTTTCGACCACGGACATGCCCGCGCCGAGGCCGAACTCACCCTCCCAGGAATTGCATCCCGAGCTGGGGCGAGGGCGCAGAACATGGGGAAGGCGCCCGGCGGACTCCCGCTGGGCAAGCCTGCGACGGAGACGAGCACGACAGACCAGACGCCGTCCTTGCCATGCGCGCAGGCCGAGGCCGGCAGTGGCCGCGAAGCGCCCCTCCCCCCACGGCAGCAAAAACGCTGCGCCCGGCCACCTGCGCTCACTCCAACTTTTGCCTTGCGTCAGGCCGGGCACGTCCGCCTACAGGCGGATTTGGAGGACAAATCTTAATACTCCAGATATGCTCCAAAAGTGGCACAAAGGAATCGCAAAGTCGTCCCTCGATTTTTTGGGGGGGCTATTTTTGAATACACCTCCTGTCGAGGGACAGGCCCGACATACGCCCAGCGTGCCGCGACGGCGGCCCCGGCGACACGCGGTGCGCCGCGAGCTGGCAGCGTGTCGCTCCGCTTCGCCGGACGGGAGGCTGGGGAAACCTCAAGGCGTGGGTGCTCATTTTTGGGGACTAAAACGGCCGCCAAAGAACCAACAAGGATCGAATCAAACAACTAACTCGAGATGCATCTGTCCACTGCTATGGCATAACCCTGTACTATGGCATGGCTCATTTCTGGGGGACTTCAGTGGCTGCCAAACGGCCCCAAAGCATCGGATCAACAAAAACAAGTGGAGATGAACCTGTCCGCTGCTATGACGTGACTCCGTACCACCTTGGCAGTGGTCAGTGGAGTGGAAGCGTGCACCTTGGCTTCACCTCCTCCCGGCCTCGTTCTGAGGCTGCGCCCCCCTTTTCCTCCCCCATCTCTGATTAATTCAAGCTTCGCGCGGCCCGCTCAGCTTCGACCGGAAGAGGTGCGCTCTCGACCCGCGAATCAAAAGCGTCGCGCCGAAGGCCGGTGGGCCTGGCCCGCTGGAGCGACGAGCCAAGAGCCACAGCTCGGGACCGCGGCGCCGCGCAGCGTGCCCCCCCCCTGCGGTGCGCGGCCCGCTCCGAGATCCCCGCGCCCCGAGGCCGCCCCGGGGAGGGGGGCAGCTCTCTAGCAGCCCGGGGGCCGCGGCGCGCGCAGCGCGAGGCGCTCCGCGCCCCGTCGGCCTTCACGAAGAATAGGGGGCCACATGCGAACCCTACCCCTGCCCCCTACGATTTCCGAGGGGGAGGGTGGGGTTCCCTTCGCTCGAGAGCTCCCGAACGAGATGACCCCCACCCTCCCCCTCAGAAATCGTGGTGGGCAGGGGTAGGGTTCGCATGTGGCCCCCTAAAGAACGCCTCGCGCCCCGCCCCTGGAGTGGTCGGGTGAGCGG